GATGTATTGTGTACTCGATATATTACTCCAATAGATGTAGTGTGTACTCGATATACTACTCCAATAGATGTATATTTTTGAATTGATGCTTTACTAGAATATCTATTAAGAAAATGCGGTTTTGACAATAGAAAATGTATACGAGAGATAATATATCAATATATTTGTATTGTTGCAATTTGACTTAAATATCTAATTAGTAAACCATAATTGTTTTTGTTTGTGATGAAATGTTTGCCTCGATATTTGGTTCCAATACAAAAACTGTTTTGTTGATATGTGATGGTGTACTTGAGTAATTATTTAAATAAATGTGTTGTTGATATGTGATGTCGTACTAAAGGAATTATTTCAATAAAGGTTTTATTGGTATGTGATGTTGTAAAAGAGTAAGTATTTAAATAAAAGTGTTGTTGATATGTGATGTTGTACTAGAGTAAATATTTAAATAAAAGTGTTGTTGATATGTGATGGTGTACAAGAGTGATTATTTAAATAAAGTTGTTGTTGATATGTGGTGTTGTACTAAAGGAATTATTTAAATAAACGTGTTGTTGACATGTGATGTCGTACTAGAGTAATCATTTAAATAAATGTGTTGTTGACATGTGATGGTGTACAAGAGTAAATTTGTCATTAAAAGTGTTGCTGATATGTGCTATCGTACTAGAGTTATTAGATAGGTGTGATTGATATGTAAGGTTACTAAAATGATTATTTAAATAAATGTGTTGCCGATATGTGTGGGTGTACTTGAGAGAGTAATTATTTAAATAAATGTGTTTCTGATATGTGATGGTGTATTAGAGAGAGTAAGCATTTAAACAAAGGTGTTGTTGATCTGTGAGGGTTTACTGGAGTTATTATTAAACAAAGGTGTTGTAGATATGTGATGGGGTACAAGAGTAATTATTTAAATACAAGTTTTGTTGACATGTAATGTTGTACTAGAGTAAACATGTCCATAAATGTGTTGTTGGTATGTGATGCTGTACTAGAGTATTTATTTAAAATAAAGGTGTTGTTGATATGTGATGGTTTACTCGAGTGATTATTGAAATAAAGGTGTTGTTGATTCGATATATGATGCCGTACTAGAGTAATTATTTAAATAAAGGTGTTATTGGACACTATTTACTCCCGGTTATCAGTTATTGAATGTGAGGTTAAAAGAAAGAAAATAATGCTGTAATTAATATCAAAAAACAATGTTCAATCTCTGAAAACGTTTGATTTTTCGCTTCTTTAAACGATCATGGTGTATATCAAATTGCGGAAACTTCTTCGTTTTCCTATTTCAATTAATTTTCCCAAAAAGGGCTAATGACAAAACAACATATGGACCCAAACTACTTTTAAGCGTTTACAAAAACAATGATACAATACACTGGAACTGGAGGGAATCATTCCCAAACCTCGGTCGACAAAAGTAAATACTGTACTTATCTGTTAGCAGTTCTTGGCAAAATTATCAAATGTCAACGTGACACTTGTTTAAAATGTATATTTGTGAAACAAAATGTAAAGCAGACAGAAAGATGCATTCGTGATGTGGCCATAGTTCTTAAATACCCTTGATCTTTTACAAGCAAACCATTAGATAACTCAATCGTAGTTTTTCATTAATTATGTAAGATCGTCCTCACTTTATTCTGGCCAAAACATTATCTCGGCTGGGCATATTACTACAACTGACCTGGTAGCAATTCACCTTCCAGGGTTCAAAACCTGATGTGGCCCTGTTGCATTATTTCACCTGGAGCACCGTTGCTGAGGTAATGTCATTTTGTTTTCAAATAAAATTCAACTTAGTTTAGTTTTCTTTACAGGAAAGAAATTTACAAAGCCGTTGAACATTTTCTATGCATAGAAACAGTATTTGACAGTGATGCGGAAACCCAAAAAATTTAATAGAGACGCACAGACGAATGTTAATTGACTTAACCATATTTTCTAACGACGCCTTTTTAAATGAAGCAACATAATTGAAAACGAAATATCTGGCGATTTAGACATTTCTTTTAAATAAATCTGAACAGGATTAAGTAATATCTTAAGAGTATTGATTATTCTACAAAGAGTATTAAATCGAATTAAATTAAAATAAAAATATTGTTAGGAGTATGATAAACTATTTTACATACGCATTATGTTTAAATGTAAAATAACACTTTTTCCAGGCACTANTGTAATAAACATTAGGGTCCTTTGGGAAGCAAATCCTTTCATTTCAAAAATGAAATGTATACGAATATTCTTCAAATTGTGTGACCAATCAAAATTTTACAAATTCACTAAAAAAGAAGTCTCGCTTTTAGAAATGTACAAAGAACGTTACTGACAACTGGCAATTACTGTATTTAATTGAGTAAGACATGTATACAATGAGTTTGTACACAAAGAGTGTTTTCTCAGCCAGTCTTTCCATGTTGATACAATTTTCATTTTCCATTGGTACAGTTTCATCGACATGTTAAATACTAACTGAAGTTCGATCAACGAGGCCTGGAATTATACTTTTTGTACATCAAAAATTATACAAAATGTATTGCATGCATCATAATATTAAAAAACAGAAATGCAAGTGCA